TACAAGAATCTACAAATTATAATTGGAGTTTTTCATTTCAATATTGAATACTTCACATAATTCGGCTTCGATAAAACCGGATTTACAATAGTACGGTTTGAAAATAATCTAAATTTCAATTGAACAAAATATAAACAATTCCATTACACTTGTGATTTATAATACGTATTTATATAGATTTACAAAGTACAATAAAACTTTAATATTACACAATCACACCTCCGCATTACTTAGTTGATAATGTATAATTATAATGGAGTTGCTTAAACCTAATTAACTCTATTATGTGAGTGTTAAAGTAACTAATTTATATTTGATCTTAATTTAATTATATAATACTTACAATTATATTTGTATGTATTGAAACTTGCAATAGCTCTGACTTGCAACAAAAAGTTGTGCTTTACAATGATGCAACTTTCTAAACGAATTCCTTCTGCTACTATTGTATTTTAACTTAAAAAAAATGGAATTGGGATATATTAAATTTGTACATTTTTATTGATATAATTGACTACTAATTACTAATTAATTTCGTGCAGTTTGGAATTATTGTAATTTTCAATATTAAGGTCATTTTTACTTGGTGACATCAAAACCAATTCAATCATACCTTAAAATAATTTATTGCTTTTTGTTGGTTTATATGTTAATTGCAACTATTAAAATAACATTACATGTTTATTTTCCTCGTGATTATTGCATAATAATTATGTTTATAATTATCCAATTATATCGAGTGCAGAATGATAACTTAATTTTCAATTATCGAAGGATGTATACACGTGTTTACCATACCATGCGTAAATTATGCAAATTTGAGATCTAAATGCAACGCGCTTATTCCAATACCGACACACATAATAAATCAGCTTTTACTACCAATAAAACTATCGGAGCTGTATTAAAATGCAGTAATCTTGCATTATTTTGAATGCCTTGAAACCATTAATTTTCATTTTACGATTAATTCCAATTAAATGGTTGTAAGCAGACCTTTGTCGTGTCAATTAATTTTGATTTTTTTTTACCAATCTCACGAATAAACAAATTATATGTCGTGTCGTTCGCATTGAAGAGAATTGCCTAAATGATTAATGACGTACGGTGAAAAGAATCAATAACATTTGTTGATTAATAGTCCTGACAATTTACGCACTGCTGTGCGTAAGAATAGTAACAACAATAACAAAAACAGCAGCAGAAAACAAAAACATAACAGTGGAATGGAAATATGCAATAATTGCTATTTGCCGCAATTGCGACCAATTAATGTCTTCATTAAACCAACAATATTTTTATTTTTGTACGTAGGTTTCACGCAGTACCGGATTTAGAAATTGTTTTATCATTCTTGCTACAGGTATTGCCAGAACTTTAGTTACGTTTCAAGAAAAAAATGTATGTATTTAAAAGACTTGCAATAATAAATCGATTTGCTTGTTTTCTTGGAAACCAAATTTTTCCATTATAATTTATTGAGGACATACTTTTCAAATGTCACGAGAGCAATTAAATTTCATCGTTCTTGGGCTGTGTAAATTCTTTAGATGTTTCATCATGTAAAAATTCCTCTCACCAATTGGTTTTGTTAATAAATCAAAGAAATAATTTCATTATTACAATTGTGTAAATATCAAAACCTTATAAAATTTTGTTTCCATTTGTGAATTTAATGAATTTTGATTCGGTCTACTTGAAGCCTAATCTCAATCCGGTCCTGATTTTTCATAACTTGTCCAACAAAACTAATAATAACTGATAATTATAAATATTGGAGTAAATGGATTAATAAAGCCAAGGATCAATTGGGTAGTGATGTGTCAATCGATTAATTGAGGAACATCAATTGATAACTGCGTTATTCCATTCAAAATTTTATTATAGATCAATTAATTTCTATTGTAAATTTCGTTTGATCGGAGCGCAGATATCTGAAGATGTGTCTGCCTTAAGTATTAAATCAATAAGCGCTGATGAATAAAACACTATAGAAATGGTGAGTGAACGTTCATAAAAAAAAATGAGTATGCAGTGAAAAACAAGTCACGATAATTTGATGTTCACCTTCGGATGTCAGAAAATGATTACGATTGGTGGTGTGAGGGGGAGTTGGGTGAGGGATTCGCAGCTAATTATTATTACGAGTGTCAAAAATATCTCAATAGATTCATTAATAAATCTCGATATGCGGTGTGGTGTAATTTTGTCCAGCGGTTCAGCGCGAATGTTGGTCGTTGGAACGGGAGCTCGCTGTGTGCTCCATTGGTATTGGTTTGCCATAAACACCTAAAAAAGAATTGCTAGTTTCATGTATTTAGGCCAATGATAAACGTTGCAAGGCTACGCCACACGTCGAGATCATTGGAATATAAAGAGACCAACAATGCGATATCTCCTCGCTTCGTTACAATTTTATATTTTCCGTTTCTCTTGCTCTCCCACCCAATTCTGGCTTTCTTTCTCAGTATGCATTTTATTGTCCCACAATAACGTCTTTATGTTATAATCTAATTCAACATTGCGACATCTTCCCCTGCGTCATCAGCTTTATTATCACCTGTGTTAATCCATTAACATTTAAAACACTGCCATCCATTAAACAGTTTTTGTTTATTATTAATTCAAAAACGTTCACTCATATTCCAGCAATGAGATCATTTATGTCAAAGGATATTATAAAAAAAAACATATAATTTATATAAATACAAGTATCCCCCAACTTACGAACTAATTCCGTTCCAAAGGGTTGTTCGTAAGTCAGGAGAATTTTAAAAATTTCAAAATATACTTTTCTTACCTTACTTTATCATGGTTTTTACTTTTATAAATGTTAAATTCCGGATTACTTACTACAGAAATTTGAAAAAATAGATTAAAATACTTACTTACAAATACTTTTCAATGTAGACATCACAATTATTTAATAAAAAACGACAAATGAAACAAATGTAAGAAAACAGATAGTAAATTTTGCAAAAATATTAAATTTTATTAAAGAAATTATCGATTTTAGTTTGGACAGTTAATTTTTTTGTAACAGTTAGAGCATTTAGAATTGTGTTCGTAAGTTGGGCAGTTCGTAAGTCGGGGGATACTTGTATATAACAGTAGGTTGAAATGACCTATGGTCAATAGTCCATTTAAACTCTTAATAATTTTTGTCTTTCTGACTGTTACAACACGTGCACGTGCCTTAATATCTACCAGTCTAATTATAAAAAAAATAATAATTTTTATACTTGAATTCATATGCATTCCAATATATATGACTATTAGCTAGTAATTGTCAATCAATAATATAAGTTTTTGTGACCAAGATCATCGAATTATCTATAAAATTTGATATGAATACGAAATGATACGATTTAATTCAAATATTCCCATTGAAATCAAAATCACCAACTATTTTTTGACCTCCAAAATAATTTACTTTCATAAATTTTTCATACAACGTGGTTCCAATAAATGGTATTGTCAATGTGTTTGTTAATGCATGTTTATGGTCCATGGCCTTTTAAAACTAGAATGAAGAGTGGAGCTTTGTTCAGAACAGAAATAAAAAAATAGCTGTATTAATTTATAATTATTTCCAAGCAATATAAGTAGAAATGAAAATTCTATATATGTTTTTTTTTTTGGTCGCGACTGGAAAAGTTTTCGAATTAACACGTCCGTTCTGGTTTTTTTTTGCACGTATCTCCAATGTAAATGGTAATTGTGGTTTTTATCTATGAACGTAATAATAATAAACAAATATTTGAATTAAGCTACGGCGGTTTTTTTTCAACGGTGTTAATAAATCTTTACCATAATCTTTCCAGATAAGAATAAGCTTTTATTTTGTACTTTTTCTTTCCAAAGAAAACAACTATAATTAAAAAAAATTCTAATTATTTTAAATTGTATTGATTTGTAATTCAATAAATAAATAAGAATAATATTAAATTATAAATAGATTGGTAAGTATTAAATAAAGAAAAGCATAATGAAAATATAAAATTATTAATATTTATACATATTGTAGATATAAAGTATTGCACAAGGCATTGTCGTCATAAGTGTCAAAAGTTCAAAGTGTTGCTCAATATTTTCCGCAATGCAAACACAATTTTATTAAAGTATTGGAACTGGTTCGCAACAAATATTGATATTATAATCAAATTGAATTTAAACCTACAATTAGTATAAATAAGTTATTGAAGAACTTCCGACATTAAGAAAATCTGATATTATTAATAGTTCATCTATGGTCAATAAATCAAAATTTTGTACAAGGTTAATACTTTCTACGTATCCTTTAATCACATGAACATAAATATATTTGTTCAATATAAATTAAATAACCTAATAAACAAGTATTTCGAAAAACCAGATGATTTATCGAGCATAAAATTATAATTCAATTTATATGCTTTTGATTATAAATTATATCTACAGGCTATATTTAAAATACTAATTCCATTAAATTCTATAACTCTCTACGATTTTTAAATGCAAGATATGTGGACTTTTTTTTTGTTTTCTTTTACCCGAGCTGAAATTATTTACTTTGCCTTCGGCTCGTTTTTCACGTGGCTTCGTGGAAAAACAAGTTTTAAATACAGCAAGGGCCCAAACAATGATGTTTGAACATCTGTTCGGGCTTGCAAGGCCAGGTCCATAAATATGCCACCCTCCAGAGCGTCATTTAAAATTACCTGCAAGCAGTAGTAAAATTACGGATTTTATCCTGAATGTACGTTTCGCGAAATGTATGTTTCGGACAGGAAACTGTAAACCGATTCAAATAATTGTTATCGGATGTTGATTAATTGGTCGCAGCCGGTTATTATTTCGACATGCTAAATTATTGCGTATTTCCTCTTTTCTTTTTAATAAATTTGTTGATACTTTTTAATTATAATGTAATAGCATGATTTTCTTAATATAATTTATTAAGTAATGAATTACAATTAAGCATTAAGAATTATGTGTTATAATAATTGTTGTTGTTTCAGCCTCAACGAATTTTGGATACGCAGCTTTCGGCAGGACTTGTGGTTGGATAATGTTGATGGGATGAGTAGAGAGTTATTGCAAGAAGGTGATAAATATCAATTGAAAATGGATGAGATAGCGGTGATCAAGAGCCGAGCGGAGAAGCACCGGCAGTATTATAGAAATCTTTGCGGCGGTGCGGTAAATTCTCCGGAGATGGCGCCACCGGTGATGGCAGAGGGAAAGGTGAAGTTTGAAAATCTTCAGCCCTTAGAGAATAAAGTGAGACAACGTCGCACAGGGGTATACGAGTTGAGCTCTTCGGGGTCCGCGTGCGATTGTTCCATGTTCAAGAGCGTTAAGCAGTTACGTGAGAAATATCAGGAGATGCTAGAGGAAACCAGCAAGCAGTTGGAAACGAAAACAGGGGATCAGTTGACGAGATCGAACAGCATGGAGGGTTTTTTGGTTCCTCCGACCAGTGGCTATTGTTCCTCAGGCACCAGCGATGATGAACGTGATAGAACTTGGCGGCACAACCAAGTGCAGAGATGCGGAAGCTCCGACTCTGCCGTTGGGCAAAGCGATGACGAGACGCAGACAAATAACCAGTGGTACGAACAGAAAGAAGTATACAATTATCCGGAGAGCCCTTACAGCCCTCGAGGATCCGTCGACCATACAAACGTTCCTTCGAAAACGATAATCGAGGCACAGTGCGTGCCCTATCCGGTGGACAGGAAGCTAAGTGATTGTATTAGTGATAGCGGCGACGGAGATAACAGCCGCAGACAAAGCTGTTACACTGACGATGGTGAGGAACAACCGTGCTATCGTTATTGGAGAACACCAAGTGTTGTAGTCAGTGATTATTCAGATGACATTATGGGATTGACGTTGGAAGACATCGAGTATTTCCGAAACCGGAGGAAGGATTGTTCTTCGCCGGACTCCAGTTTACATAGTTCCTGCAGCAATTTGAACTATTGCGGCTCAACAATTAGCTGCTTGGACACCGATTACACAAGGCATCCGTATCGTAAGCAGTCTAATTGTTCCACGTGCTCCACACTCAGCGGCGATGAAGACACGGACATCATCCAAGCTTCTAACAAAAAGGTAACACATTTCACACTTTTAACTCAAGTTTATATCTGACAATGGCAAACAACACCATTTGCAGATAAACTGTTAGCTAACACTTATTTGTTATTTCATCTTCCAACATATAATTATAAAACAATTACGTTTTTTTATCAATTTTTCTATGAATGAAAAGATTTCAGTTACTTTTAATATCTTAAATTAACATACTTCATTTATTATAAAGTATAGAAATTTGATGCTGATCCGTTGCATTATTTATTTAATTATTCTTTGTTAATGATTGTAAGTAGAAAACTGTTGTCTTCTTGGGATTTAGATTCTATTGTCCCGCGAAACAGGTTTAGTGACGCACTTTACTAGACTACCGCAATTTTTTTCGTAAACTTATCCTTTTCTCTTTTATTATTTTGTTGCTCTTGCTCAATCGTACTGTTGCTCAAAGCACGAACTTGTTTGGCATCTTGCA